TCACCGCCGTACTGCCTGCTGCTGCAGTTACCCTGGCCCCCAAGACGGTCCACCACCCAGGCCCGTTCCACAAGCCGGCCCCCTACCACCCTGCCCGTCCCACAAGCCGGCTCCCTACCACCCAGGCCCGTTCCACAAGCCGGCCTCCTTCCACCCTGCCCATCCCACAAGCCGGCTCCCTACCACCCGGACCCATCCTACAAGACAGCCCCCTACCATCCAGCCCCATCCTACATGCTAGCTTCGCCAAGAAGGGGGAGGGCGATGGTCACAGCACCCAGGGATATTACTCGGTGGCTCTGCCGGACAGCGGTGTTCAACACGTCAAGTACGTCGTCAACAACTACGGTGGCTACAACGCTGAGGTCACCTACGAGGGAGAGGTTCAGCGCCCCGGGTACCACCCTGCTCCAGCCTACAAAACTGTCCACAAACCTACCTACAGCCATCGCACCCCGGCATACAAACGTGCAGAGTGAAATTTTGAAAAAGTTTTCTATGTAAACGCAATTTTTGTTTGCAGTGTTATCGTTACCTAAACTGTTGAGCTTTCATGACACAAAGCTCTCATGCAAGAAGCCTTGCATGTTTCAGCTTAAAGATTTCACTGATGCGTTTGTGACATCCGACGTGCGCTTTCAACAAAGCTAATCCCCACGTTAGTACGCATATCGGGTATTGAGCAATAATCGGTTTCATGGTAGGCTGTAGCGTTAATGTTTTGTCTCAAAATGGTGCGCAAATCTTTAGCACAATTGACCCAAATTGATCGACTGAAATGCCTTGAAACGATGGCTTCCGGGCTCAAATCTTGGGTAATCAACGCAAGCACTGCCCCGAAAACTCATTTTTTTTATAAATTTATTCCGAATGGTTTGCATGGGTGACTTCGGGTTCAGAGTATACGCTAAGCATAGCTTGTTGCGTGTAGCCCGAACCCACTACCCAAGTCGTGCGGTCCAGTTCAACGGATAATTTTGCCTCCGCCTTTTTGCCAGACAGGACTGCGGAGGTTTTTACGTGCCGCACAATGCTGCGGCACGGCCGCCCCGGGCCTGGGTTGACCCTCGTTGGTCAGTTGCCAGCTGACTTTTGCATTTCAGTCGGGTCAAACAATGCGCCCGCTCTGGGACTCGTAGCCAGTGCCGCTGGATTACGAGCCCAGTATCTTTCCCTTGGACCACGGAGGCGACTCTAAATCTCGTTACTTTAAATCTCCCTGGGAGGTAACTATTAGCGCGTGATTTGTGTAATCATTTTCTGACCCGTCAACGCGCATCTCCTCCCCAACGAGATCAACACCTAACGAGGGCGGGTCCCTTCCAACGAGATCCACCCCTAACGAGGACCCCCTCACGAGGGCGGGTCCTACCTTTCTCCGTTTTGGCATTGACATGCAAGCCGTTCCAAATAGGTTACCACAATTTACAATGTCATTAAATGATCAAGCTGTCACATGTTTGGGAGAATACCGCTTCGACGTTGAGCTCCATCACATTACGCTCATAGTAATGTCTTGGAGAGCCGTGCCATTTGTGCCGCTTTCTTTTTCTTTTTTTACAGGCAGATTTTAAAGTGTCTTAAAGCAGCTCAACAGCTGAACTGACTGCGCGACGGACAGTCAGTGAGAGTGGGCGATGTCATGTCAGGTCATCAACAGACGCTATGTGAGGTCAGCTTGTATGTGTCGTGCCGAAAGGATATTCCTGTGAAAATTAGAAATAGCTCAATGCTGAAATAATGTTGTCATGCTTTTATCAGAACAGAGCTGAACAACACGCACTTAGCTTGTCTCATTGGTTGCACCGCGCTGGGCTACTTGGGGTTGTCTAAGTCGTGTAATGGATGGTGGTTAGGGTGGTCCGACAAACGCAAAGTTGTTTTGTGCTCAAATGGAGATCTGGTATTTGCATTTCTCTTTGGGGGGGGGGCCTTTCTAGGTGATGCAACCATCAATGTCTTGAAAAGCTTTCACACTTCCGGAAATTTGTTAAAAACCCCGCATGTTCAATTAAGAACATGCGGGTTTTTTGGCGCCGGCGTCACGCTCCTGGAGCATGTGCTCGCAATGTCATGCTCTGATCGCCTGTGAGCAGAAGTGAGGTTTTGGCGACGGACTTGCTACGAAGAAAGAGTGTCACATTGAACAGTACCATCTATATGCCAACCTTTTGTCTTTGTCGCATTCGTCTGGCTCATGAGAAGAAAAGGGCACTATGTGATGCTCGCCCTAGCCTTTAGCGCCATTAGCTGCCAGAATCCCTTTGTGCTAGGATTAAAAACAAGTTTCATGTCTTGCCTTGGACGAAGTAAGCACTTGACATTAACGGGCACGAAGGGCCTGATCTTGCTTGGGTATAAGGATATAGCTTTCTATCCAGTTTAATGGCCTTCAGCTCCTCCCCCCCCCCCAATTTATGACTCAGGTCCCCAACTTTGAGAAGAAAGTGTGCTAAATTCAGGGAGATGCCCGTTTGTTAACGCAACAAGACTGCTATTGATGCCAATGGCAACATTTCAGCACGCACCTGCATGGTATGTGCTGATGGCCTGGTTTGCAGTGTAAGTGGTGTGTACTTCCACATTTATTTAACTTTTGTAGACTACCCGCGAACTGCTGATAGACGGACCCGGCCACTGCCTCAGTGAACTGCCTCCCGGCACCACCAGCTGGGTTAACGAATTCACACAGCATTGTCTGTTGCACCCCCATCTCCTAGAAGTTAAGCTGAATGTGCTCATTAAGCCTGCTCCTGCCTACAGATAATGTGGGATATGCACAGGTGACGTCAAACCTGTAGTTGAAGTTGAACCGAAGTGGCCAAGTAAGGATATATCCGTTGAGCTTGGCAGGACAATTCTGGTGGTGGATTCAGGAAAAACGGAACAATGCTAGCTGGCCAAATTAGCGAAATCCAAAGCCATGCCATACTAACCACTGGAAATAAAATGACTCCAACCCTCACCGCTCACAGCCTCGCCCTTAGCTTGCACAGCTCCGTCATAAATCGTGGCCATTTCGCTCCAACTTTTTTCCGTTCGTTATCTAACCTTGAGGTAGAAGTGGCGTAAATCCGAGCAGAAATCGAAATTAGGGAGAAGTTAAGATGAATCCATTTTTTGGGTCAGTGATGTCTTTGGGATGCTCCAGCCCGCTACTCAACATCCCGTATTGAAAGCGTCTTGACTGAAAGGGAACCCTACAGAATCCTGACAGATGTATGCCCATGCTTTATTTGCTTTCTATGTGCTTTCAAGCCTATCAAAATAAATCTACTTAACAACCAATGAAAGCAACGAAAGTCAATTTGCAGCAATGAAGATAAATTACCTCAATTCTGGACTGCGTTGACTTCAAGGCATGTGCGGTACCCATACCCTGTTGAAAGGTATCAAGGACAAAACGCATTGACATATCAATTTGTTTTGCGTGTGCTGGGGGGGATGGGGGGGGGGGGGGTCAGCCTGAGGCATGCATGCAGCAGGTTGTTTCACATTCGGGTAATAACATTAGATAAGTGAAATTTTACAGTAAATTCCCATTATTTTCTCGGTTTACATATCTCCCTTGAGTCTAATATGTGCTGCAATGCGTCATAATCTTGGTTAACGAAGTCTTGTCGTAAACTAAAGCTACCAAGTGGTTTTGAAAATGTTTTATGTGAGCCCTGCGGTTTGGTTCGGCAGTGCGTAAGGTTTTTTGATGGAAGCGCCGTCACTGTAAAAGAGCGAAACAAGATGGGAACACACGCAAATATCGTGAAGTGCTTTACACGGGGAGAATTACATTTACAGTAGCGTGAGGATTGCATACCTTTACGTTAGCGTGCTTTCTGATGTGCTGCCAATGTTTTTTTCAGGAATATAATACGTCATCAAAGACATCGCGAAGGATGCTGTCAAACGTTGCCTCGGCCAGCAATGTGATCTTGAAATAGAAGTGGTCTGTGGTGCTGCGAGAAGCTTTTTTATATGTGTGATCCCCGCGCAGCAAATCAGGCCACTCCATTCAGGCAGGACGTTAAAAACGCTTCAGAAGCTTTAGATTCTGAGATCCGGACACAAAGGAGGGATGCCGGATGTAAGTCAGCGATGAGTCGAACTACAGGCACATCCCACGCGGCACAAACGGCACAGTGGGTTTTAGACCCGTTAGCTTCCTTGGATATTTGCAAACGGCGCAAGCATATATATACTCTAAATCAGAGTCAGGGCGATTGACTTGTTCTTGTTTAACGGTATGAACATTGACGTGCATATTCTACATGTCTTGCTCGAATACAGTGTCATGTGCAAAGTACGACCGAATAATGGACACATGAATTGCTTCCCAGCCGTTGTGCGAGTATCCAGCAGTGGCCGTGGTTCCGTGCTAACCTGTCATGTCACTCGACCAGCCGGTGGTAGCGGGAGCCGCACGATCAGTGAAGCAATGTTTGTGACCTTCCATCAGCGGCCCGCGGCCGATCTATAAAAGCCGATGCACTGTAGATGCATGCACCAGTTCCACTGCACCCTCGGCCACCAAAAACACAAGATGCAGGTATGTGCTTGAAGAAAGTAGTTCGTGTGGCATCTTGTCACATACGAGAGGAAATGCATTTTTGGGGAAATGCATTGTGACGGGTGCAGTGGTGACATGTCGCACCAGAAACATAGCTATAGGATGAATTATGACAAAACAACTGTACAGAAGTGACTGACCTGTTGACAGCAAATCGTTTGTGAAATTTCAGGGATTCGTCGTTGCCGCCGTACTGGCTGTCGCCGCCGCCGCCCCAGCCACGGAGGCGTCGGCGTACAAGCCGGCTCAGGCTCAGTACCACCCGGCCCCGTCTTACAAACCCGCTTCCTACCATCCGGAGTCCCAGTACAAGGAGGATGCCAAGCCGTTCGCCTACGACTATGCTGTCAACGACCACTACACCGGCACCAACTTCGCCAAGAAGGAGGAGAGCGATGGCCACATCACCCAGGGATATTACTCGGTGGCTCTGCCCGACGGCCGTGTCCAGCACGTTAAGTACGTCGCCGACAACTACGGCGGCTACAACGCGGAGGTCACATACGAGGGAAAGGCCCAGTATCCCGAGCACCACCCCGCCCCTGCCTACAAAGCTGCTGCCCCAGCTTACAAGCCTGCAAACAATCCTACCTACAGCCATCCCGCCCCGGCATCCAAGCCTGTGGCGTACTAGTCAAATTCTAAGGACGACTTGCTATTTAAACGCATGAATGTTGTGTTATGATGCTCTTCAGCCCGTTTAATTTCAATAAAATGAACTGCTCAGACTGTGTGGTTTTAACATATCAGCCAGTTCTTCCAATGCTAAACATCATAATTTCATCATGGGACCTGAGCTAAGCTTTATTTATAAATGCGTAGAAGTAGCTCTATATTCGTTGTTATGGACACCCATGTTCGCTTGCAAATTCATTTGCATACCGAGACTCGGTGCGAGTCATCAAAACCCTCTCGGCATAGTCACTCGTGTTTCGGGTAACCCTTCGCTGCACGGTATGCTTTCGGGTGCCAGGACGTGGGCATGTGCATTTTTGAACGTCATACCCCTTTAAATCTCAAAGTCGTCTATAAAGCCAGGGCCATCCAGACAGCAAAATAAGTGGATCCATTCTCATAAAAAATCGGTAACGAGACCCTAACATACAGGGCTTATTATGAGCGATTATGCGAATGCAATTAGTGCCTTCAAGCGTGCTGTGTGCTAGCTTAAAATCGTTAATATGTATGAGCGATGCCTGATGCATCATGCTTGAGGCCTATTTGCTTGAAATCGTTTGCATGTATAAGTGTTGAGTGATGCGTGATGCCTGTTTATTTGAATTCGTTTGCGTGTACAGGTATTTTTCGCGCATTTTAATCCGAAGTTGAATATACACTGCATCGTGATAATGGTTGGCAAAGCTCCTTATCCTGAATGTTGGTGAATTGTAAAAAAAAAATGTGACACGCTGTTTAAAAAAGTCAAGTGAAATCGGCATGCAATTTTGAATTCACTACTTAAATGTGTTCCCATAAACGCATGTAGCTGGAATATCGATGCATCTATATCTCCTTTGTCCTGGTTACTCTAAGGAGAATCGGGGTAACGGTACTGTCTATCTATGTGTAAAATGTTCTTCGCAAATGGACTTGACAACTTACGCAACCAATATCTGCCACAAAAAGTCGTTAAGCCAGTGCATTCTGATATATTAAAGTGAGCGTTCCATCTTTATTTTTTGGTCTTCGCTGAAATAGCTGTCTTGAAGATTATTCGGTGCAGTTCACGGCCCTGACCTTCTGAACACCTAAAGCCCTCTGGTTTCTGAGCTATACGCCCAAGAAGATGTGCAGACTTTTTCGTGCAGACTATTTCAAGATCATTCAGGCATGCATGACGTCATGAAAAGAGTCATTCAGATCCTGCAGGCCAGGCGATGTTCAAGGTGGCGAATAATATTATCGTACAGCCGTTCACATCTAACGCCCGTGAACGCGGTCTCCAAATATAACGGATGCCAATTTTCTCTCAATTTTTTTTTTAGTGGCCTTCCCAAGGTAAGACAGTAGCAAAATCCTTATTCCTCGGTGAAAAAATCGGGGGAATGGAGATATAGATGGGTTGATGTTTCGATAAAGGTATGTTGCCGAAATAGCAACCCATCGATATCTTCATTCTCCCGGTTTTCCTCCGGGGAATAAGGCTATTAATGCTGTCTTTTCTATGTGAATAATGTTCCTCGAAAATGCACTGAACAACTTACAAGCTGAGCAAGCTTCAATCGCAAAGCACGCTTTGTGCTACTTAATTTAGCAGGTTGGACATGGTTTCGTTACTGGCTAGCTATAACAAAATTAAAGCTTTCAATTGAATAACTTAATAAGACGAGCCCATGACATTTGGTTCAGCGAAAAATATTGCCCGTGCTGCCACCTCTTGGCAAGCTTGAAGTACTACAAGTAAGTGCAAATTTCGACGGCTAGTTTGGAGTTTTCTCAACGTCATACAAACGTTCCATGACGCAATCAAACAATGCCGTATTAAGGAGCATGTTTACTAAATGGAGAAATTGTGCTGCCTAGAGGATCCTTTTCACTTAAAAGCAGATCAATAGTCATAAGTGAGATGATTTCATTTCATACTCGGCTCGTTGCAGACGCGTCTCTTCCTTGTTCCGATGCAGATCATAATGACGATACTCCATGACCACGGCGGCTATAACACCCTCTCCAAATGGAGACTCGCCTGCAGGCGGCAAGGAGTAATCGGATAGCTTTTGTCGTACAGCTGTGTACGCTCATTGGCTGGTGGTATGAATGGAACCATAGCGGCGCCAAAAACGGCCGAGTGCAGCGAGCTGTTCCAGCGTGACCGACCGAGAGGTTGCATGCCGTTTCTCTCTTCCGCGAGACAGGGGACGGGGAGCGGGCGCGTGCTGCCCGCCGACGCCGTCGCGGCGCGGTCCGTGCCCGCCGCCGGCCACCAACGAGGCTCGGGGCGGTTCGGTCCGGCCGCGTCCAGGTGGGAGACGCCGTCGAGACGCGATCCTCTTCCGTCCGACGTGCAGGGAGGGTGAGTGCCGACGCCTGGTGTTACAGCCAGGTCTGACTCATCCTTGCGCTGTGCTGCCTTACAGACATGGCCCAAGTCAGGACATGAATGGTGCGACACAACAGACACAACTGCGCCGCCACATCGGACGGAGTGCCATAAAACCGACTCAATGGAGCAGCTCCAACAGACGTGTTGGGCCCCAAGCCAAGGGACGCACCACGAAACGAAAGGCGTAAGTTGGAAAGAAACGTACGTCATGTCTCGCAGGGTTGCATGCGTCGGTGATTAGGCAAGAGCACTGCATTAGACTACTTCAATACCAGAGCCTGTATTCAGCAATTCCAGCTTTAGTACGGACCAAATTCCCGACGCAGCGCCGGCTTCAGGTTCCAAACCAGTGGGGGAAAACCTCCGTTTTCTGGTGGATGTGGCACCAGGAAATGTTGTACTCCAGGCTCTTGACTGGTAAGAATCCCAATTTTTTATACTCCAGACAAACACTGCAGTCGCCCCACAAAGCAGACACCATTGCAAATGTATGAGCCTGAGTATAAGTACCAAGGCAGACAGTTTTGCTTTCTTGATAGCCAGGAGGGTGCATAAACTTTGCTTTCATAACGTGAGTTATAACTTTTATTTGATTTCCAGAGACCAAACATATGGAGCACCAAGAAATGGAAACAAGCATCTGCAATCCTGCAGGAGCTGGCCAATCCAGGGCGTTCATGTCAATGTCCTTCATCATTGTATTACATGGGTTAGATGTACTTGTACAGGCCTGTGCAACTCCTGAATGGTGATGACAACTCATGTGAGTTACTTCTGTGGAAATGAAATAAGCTGAAAGATGAAATGTGCTTGTTTTAAGTACCTACCGCTGCCACATACCTCAGATGTCACTTGTGGGGAAAATATATGGCGCACCTGAGTAAGACCGCATTCCCCACGACGCACACACCTACCGATACCTTTTTCAAGAAACGGACGAACATATCACGGCGCCGGCTCCCACCACGCGACGAACCCATCGCCCCCCGTACCCGAGACCAACGGCAGCCCAGCCTCCTACAACTGACGAGTGCATTTTCGAGCAGTGAAGGTCCGCGTCGCAACAGACACCTACAACAATATTTGTTAGACCAGAAAACCACTAGCAGCACCAAAATCAACGATGGCACATCTTTTTCAACTAGCTCATTCAAAGACTCGCCGAGCAAGAAGTCCAGTATGCCAACAATGCTCTTAACTTACCTCATATTAAGATAACATGTTAGCGATTTTACTAAAGGACGTGCATCTTGCAAACAGTTTGGTGGGAAAATTCCAAAATATTGCAGCATTGCACATCCTTTTCAAAGCGCTTGTTTCATTCCTGCTCCTGCCATACCAGCCACCAATCATCATCCAACTTGCAATTAAACTCAAAATCGTAGCATTCAAAGGCACTTTTATCATATCACATATCGGCACTTTTAAGATAGAATCATGACATTAAATGGCATTCAAATATGGCGTTTGTGGGCGGCACTTTTGGTGGTAACGGCTTCTTTTGGGTTCTTAAATGTCATCGGAATTTACGTTCCCAAAATGGGAGTTTGTGGCATGCAGCATTCCAAAACTTATTACGATTGTATAAATGATAGTACGTCAGCCACTTTTTCAGAAATCGGTAAATGCCGGTCTTTGAAGATTCGAGGATATCTTACTTATTTAACAGCGGTATCACGTCTCCAGGCTCAACCAGTACCTATACTTGCAAGATAGAGATGGTCCATAACCCGGTGGGAAAAAATCACAGTACTTGGTTGCCCTTCTCACAATGGGGCCTATGGGGAGACCCGGGGAGAACAAGCCGGAGTACAAGCCGGAGAACAGCAAGTTTTTAGCAAAGTTAGTCAAATTTAATTGAAAAATTTACGTGTTTTGGTATCGCCCAGATACGGGCCTTCCTCAGAGGGTGCTGAAATGGCATGATATGCCTTAGAATGAGAAATATCTATAGATTTGTAGTACAGTCACTGCATTATCTCGGCGTTGTCTTGCGCCACCAGAAGATAATATATATTTGTAGGTGGAAAATAGCAACTTGAAATGCATGACTGTAAAGCTCTATGATTTTTCTACCACAAACTGAACAATTTGTGTTGGTGCAACTGCATAAATGGTTTTTCTTAGACTATTCATCACAGCCTGTCATTTCAGGACCGACCCATGGTACTTGTACTTGGTTGGCCCATTGACGAGTGCTAGAATGCCATCACAATGTCTGTGAATGCGCCAGAACTCCTGTGCATGGTTTGGTTGTCTGTCTTCGTGTGGTGGGAGTGAGGAGGGAGGAGGGTGAGTGAAGCTGCTTGGGATTATGTGCATCGTAGCTGCGAGTTTGAGGTATTCAGTGAGGCAAAGTGGAATTGGTTGTCTTCAATTTTCACACAGCATGCATCCACACTTGTAAAGTTACTTGGGATTTAGTTTTGGACCGCTATTAAGTTATTCCAAAAAAGGTAAATAAATACCGGGGGACTGATCTATAAATGTTTACCACTGCAGGCTGGTGCAGAATCACCTTGGTGTAACCTGCTCTACCTACAGCATGGTGGGTAGGTACGTAGGTACTAAGGTATCTATATACAACATTAATGCTAAGCTTGGGTTTCCCATGTGGGATCAAATATGAGGCTGGCCTCTTTTCAGCCTGTGGTTGTAATTGCTGTAACCTGGCAGGTGGCAATGCTGCCATGTTCCTTGCTGTCAGGCATAAGGTCCTGCAGTGGCACTATTAAAGTTTTCCCTACATAGGGTCATAGGGAACTTGGAGAAGAGGAGAGAAGACAGAAGGTGCAGGAAGAGAGGAGGAGCAGAAGTGGAGGAGGAGTGGAAAGAGAAGAGTGACAGAAAGAGAAGCTGAGGAACTGAAGGAGGAGAAGAGCAGAAAGAGAAGGATAGGAAGAGGAACACTTTTGGTATGTTTATATTAATTATGTAAAGGCCATTATGGCCATTATGTATGTTAGTGATGTCACATACAAAAGGCTTTCATAGTCAGTTGCAGCTGCCTAAGACTCATTAAAAAACCAGGGTGTGATGCAAAGTGGTTGTCCGCAATTCAGTTGTCAGTAAGCAGAGGATGCACCTGATTTATCATTTTGATATTGTGTAAGTTTGCATGTAGATAGGCAATGCTAAGTAACTGAGCTTTGTATGATGCACCTGTGAATGCATATGTATAAAGTTTTGTTGTTAACCTCTCTAACTCTATATTTCTTATTAACGTGTACCATTAATCAATCTGTGCATGTATAGGTCAGCTAGTAGCACTACAGTGATATGGATGGGATCAGTGTGGCACCCTCACTCACAAGAAGTGCTCTGTTCCACTGAAATGCAAAATTGCATGCTGACACTAATTTTTGCCAGAAAAACATTGGGAAAATGTTGACCCATTAAAGGCAGTATGTGATGTACTCCAAGCAAGGCCCATTGTGCAGACACTCATTTCACATTAGACAGACCTTTGCTTGCAGGCAAGTTTGCACTCCGACCACAACAATTTTTGTACTCCGCCACCAGCAAAAAAAAAAACAATTAAATTTCCCACCCTGTTCCAAACAGCATTTATGTTCTCTGAAAGTGCACCTCTCACCGCAATCCGCGTGCCGGGGCCAAGAAGCGCCTTCCCCACAGCTTTTTTCTCATCAGCCCAGCCGATATATATCCGATATATATATCACACCCCCAGCCGATATATATCCGACCGTGACAAAAAGTCTTCCAGCTCTTCTCCATCACCCCCGCGAATTTCACCCTGGGCTCATTTTCGCATGTTCCCACTCGCCGTCACTCGCTGTGACAAACACGCCCTCTCGCCGGCGTCAGAAAACGGCCGTCCCGGTGACCACTGACCATGGCGGCCGGCCGGCCCACGCCAGCGGCGGGGGGCTGCAGAGGCGAGCCCAGGTAAGCCCAGTAGTAGATCGCATATTGGTAAGCGTACTAGTAACGCACCATTATGGCAATGTTGTGATGGATCTTGCTCGTTAACTTCCCACCGCCTGTGAGTTGGTTTCATCGCATCTGATGCCTGCTTCAATATTTTCAAGTGTGGAGGATTGCTTTTAAATGGTCGATAACTCAGCATAGCCTTAGACTCATATGTGACCACTAAAATTTGTTTTTTAACTCCTGTCGCTATTTTAATTTCATTACTTCAAATACACCTTGTTGCTTTGTGAGTTAGAAAAAATGCAAGAACAAGATATCCGTCATCATCGTTCACATCGCCTGCAGCAGATTGGTGAGCTTGAGGAAGCTGAAAAGAAGGTCGAGCAATTGTGAATGGTCGTCACTAAGAAAGATATTTAAGAGAATGTGATGCTGCGCCAAAGAAAATGGGTCTCCATGGCATTTCGCTATTGCTTGAACTTGTTGCACTCCATAGCAATGTTTGCCCTAAAGTGGATAATCGCACGGCTGTGAGCAGGGACGAGGGCGACACAAATATGTGTGATTTTGGGTGAGTATATACTGTGTGAAGCTCGCAGACAGGCCAATATCTTCTTCCCCCCAAACGGTTTTTACGATACATTGATGGCTTAAGTGTCATGTCAGAATTTATGCCATGAAGCTGCGTTCTAGTGTTGTTTGTCCATTGTCATGGCCAAAATGTGTTATCGTTGTCCGAGTTGAGGACTAATATATTTAGAGTGAACGGAACTTTATGTGATGTGAAGGGACCAAAGCTTCTTGAGCCAGTGGACCAGCCTGTTTAATCCCCATAATGCTTCTTTAGCCTTGAATCCACGGAAAATCGAATACCAAATTTAATGGCTCATGTCATGTCTTGTGAGTGTAATATATGGCATATGCAAATAATATATGCATGTCCTGTGAGAGCAATATGTGATGCAGATTGATGATGTGGACAAGGAAGTGGGGAGCAACGTCTGGGTAGTAAAGCGATTTTACATCTGCCTTGAGTGTAACCCGGACGGATCGCAATTGTGCTCGGAGAATGAATGTGTTGCTGACGGTGTTGAAACGCAAGAACAAGCGCAAGCAACTCTACCCTGTTAATGGAGGTGCCATTTGATAACCGACAGTTTTTTAAAGAAACTTCGTAATAAATTACTAAACATTCAGAGTGGTCATCAAACCTAGAACCATCGGTGTACACAACACAGTTATTTGGATGAATGACAATTGGATTATTTAACGTTTGTTAAATATAAGCTGTTGTGACGAACACTTTGAGATCTTTAGGAAGGTGCTTGAATATAATTAATAGTGCTACAATACACTGAGTTTGTTTGTCGTTTGTTTACGAGTCTAGGGCACTTTTGTTACACATCGCAAAATGCATTATTTTCGTTGGATAGTTAGAATCATAACGTGAGCGTCCATTCCGAACGCTGAAATTGGAGACGTACGCAATATTCCTTGCGTAATCCGCAATAACGTGTTTTTGATGGTAGCCAGAGGCTGAAGAGCGTGCTCATTGCTCCCCTGCTTATGCCATGGAGCCGTATTTAATGATAAGAGCCAAAAATGTCTGTAAGCGTACTTAAGTATGGCGGTCGGCACCGTGCAGTGAACCAGAGATGCAGCGGACGAAACTCAGTGTTTTGAAGCGTTTGGAACAGGCATGCTTCACGCGCGTTGGCACTGAATCTTAGGGCGAGTGCCATACCGATTAGCTTAACAAATAAAATAAAAAGAGTATAATCTGATCCAACAATAACTGAAAAGTGCACAAAATGTGGCCGAAAATCCCGAAAATGCAAATGACGTTTGCCACAGCCGGATCAGATAAATTCACATGATGAAAACGCAAGCATACTTTTGTCAGAGCCGCATAACTCCAGGAAATCATTTCATTAAAATGCGGCCGCAGTAAAATTCCTTCCCGCTCGTGGAATTTCACCTCCCCGGAGAAAACAATGTTGAAGTAGCCAAATAATCTTGGTCAGCTGGAAAGCCGTATTTGCCGAATGACAAAGGTGAGTCGAACGGGTAACATTGTGCATCAGTGAGAAACAGCCGTAGATGTATATCTAGCATTGCAGCCATGACATTTCATCACTTCCAAAATATGTTACGTGAATTATTAGTGGACAAGACCGCCGCACCTACACCCCCCCCCCCCCCCCTTTGTGTCACCGGATTTGCTTCCCAGCAAAAGTTCCTGAATACACCCTGAGCCTGGCACCCACTTGTGTGCACCCAACATCCTGTGTAATCATGACCCAGCTTAACCGTCACATTAAGCTAAACTTCTCTGGGGCGGGGGTGTGCCAGGCCATTCCATACGATTTCGTCAGGCACAGCCTGCGGCACTGGGGGCCACTCGTTCACTGGGAACCTGACCGTGGCCGTCTACCATGTGGTGAGCGGGCCGACCTATAAAAGCGGAAAGCAACGCGAAAGTAGGCACCACTTGCACTGGCACACCAGGCCATCAGAACACACCATGCAGGTGAGGGCTTGAATGATGCGGTTGGTATGGTCGTCCTGCTGACTGCTGCAACGATTATTTTTTAGCGAAGTGAACTGCAGTTAAAGAATGGAGAAATGTATTACATTGGTACCGAGGTTATCAGATTGATCCAGCAAAACATGCACTTTTAAAATGGCTGCCGCTTCCGTGAAAAGCCCCCCTATGTCATTGCAGGGTTTCATCGTTGCCGCCGTGCTGGCTGTCGCCGCCGCCGCCCCAGCGCCGGAGACGCCGGGCTACAAGCCCGCTCCGGTCCCCTACCACCCGGCCCCCTCCTACAAGCCGGCCTCTTACCACCCGGAGCCCCAGTACAAGGAGGAGGTCAAAGCCGTTCGCTTACGAGTACGCCGTCAACGACGACTACACCGGTACCAACTTCGCCAAGAGGGAGGAGAGCGATGGCCACAACACCCAGGGATATTACTCGGTTGGCTCTGCCTGACGGCCGTATCCAGCACGTCAACTACGTCGTTGACAACTACGGCGACTACAGCGCTGAGGTCACCTACGAGGGAGAGGCCCATTACCCCGAGTACCACCCCGCCCCTGCCTACAAGACTGCTGCCCCGGCTTACAAGCCTACCTACAACCATCCCGCTCCTGCCTATAAGCCTGTCCACAAACCCGTTTACAGCTCTCCCGCTCCGGCCCACAAGCCTGTCCACAAGTCTGGCTACAGCCATCCAGCCCCTGCCTACAAGGTTGCTGTTCCGGCCTACAAGGCTATCCACAAGCCCGTTTACAGCTCTCCCGCTCCGGCCCACAAGCCTGTCCACAATTCTGGCTACAGCCATCCCGCCCCTGCCTACAAGGTTGCTGCTCCGGCCTACGAGCCTGTCCACAAGACCGTATACAGCTCTCCCGCCCCGGTTTTCAAGCCAGCGACGTACTAGTCACAGGGTGAGAACGGTTCCTGATGTTATTTTCTTATTGTGTAGGTTACGGCGCTTGTCGATTCCTCGCCAGCTGCATTTAATAAAATGATTTGTTCGAGTTATGCGGCTCTGACAAAAGTATTCTTGCGTTTCCAGCACGCGAATTTATCTGATCCGGCTGTGGCAAACGTCATTTGCATTTTCGGGAGTATGCCACATTTTGTGCACTTTTCAGTTATGTTGGATCAGATTTTACTCTTTTTGTTCTATTTTTTAAGCTAATCGGTACCCGCACTTGCCCTAAGATTTCAGTACCAACGTGCGAGGAGCATGTTTGTTCCAAACGCTTCAAAACACTGAATTTCGTCCGCCGCATCTCTGGGTGCACGGTACGGTGTCGACCGCCACACTTAAGTACGTTTACATACATTTTTGGCTCTTATCATTAAATACGGCTCCATGGCTTATGCAGGGGAGCAATGAACACGCTCGTTGGCCTCTGGCTACCATCCAAAACACGTTATTGCGGATTACACAAGAAGTATTGCGTGCGTCTCAAGTTCAGCGTTTGGAATGGACGCCCACGTTATGCTCCTAGCTATCCGACGAAAGGAATACATTTTGCGATGTGTAACAAAAGTGCCGCAGGCTCGCAAAGAAACAAACAACAACAAACTCAGTCTAATGTAGCACTTTTAGCTATTTTCAAAACACCTTCCTAAAGATCTCAAACTGCTCGTCACAACAGCTTATATTTAGCAAACGATGAATAAGACAACTGTCATTCATTCAAATAACTGTATTTTGTACACCGATGGTTCTAGGTGTAGTGACCACCCTGAATGTTCAGTAATTTATTGCGAAGGTTGGTTTAAAAACTGACGGTTATTGAATGGCACCTCCATTTACTCCGCAGAGCTGCTTGCTCTTCTTCTTGCGTTTCAACACCGTCATCAACACATTCATCCTCTGAGCGCAATTGCGATCTGTTCGGGTTACAAGGCAGATGTAAAGTCGCCTAACTACCCAGACGTTACTCCCCACTTCCTTGTCCACATCATCAATCTGCATCATATATTACTCTCACAGGACATGCATATTTACTTACATATCATATATTATATTCACAAGACATGACATTAGTCATTAATTTTGGTAACCGATTTTCTGTGGATTCCAGGTTATAGAAGCATCATGGGATTTAAGCAGGCAGGCCCATTGGCTCAAGAAGCTTTGGTCCTTTCACATCACATAAATTTCCGTTCATTCTAAATATATTCGTCTTTAACTCGGACAACGATAACACATTTTTGACTACGACAATGGACAAACAACACCAGAACGCAGCTTCATGGCATAAGTTCCGACATGACACTTGTATCGCCTTGTACTTGGCCATCGATGTATCATAAAAACCGTTTGAAGGAAGAGTTGGCTTTTCTGCGAGCTGGACACAGTATATACTCACCCAGAATCACACATATTTGCATCGCCCTCGTCCCTGCTCGCAGCCGTGCGATAATCCACTTTGGGGCTAACATTGCTATGAAGTGCAACAAGGTTAAGCAATAGCGAAATGCCGTGGAGAGTCATTTTCTTTGGCGCAGCATCAGATTCTCTTAAAGATCTTTCCTGGTGACGACCATTCACAATTGCTCCATCTACTTTTCAGCTTTCTCAAGCTCACCAATCCGCTTGAGGCGATGTGAACGATCATAGCGGATATCTCGTTCTTGCATGTTTTTCTCTAACTCACGAAGCAACAATGTGTTTTTGAAATAACGAAATTGAAACAACGACAGAGATTAAAAACAATTTTTCATGGTCATATGAGTGTAAAGTTATGCTGAATTATCGACCATTGAAACGCAATGCTCCACACTTGAAAATATTGAAGCAGGCATCAGATACGATGAAACCAACTCACAGGCAGTGGGAAGTTAACAAGCAAAAACATCACAACATTGCGATAATGGTGCGTTACTAGTTCTTTCACCAATATAGCGAATTACTAATGGGCTTACCTGGGCTCGCCTCTGCGGCCACCCGCCCGAGGCGTGGGCCGGCCGGCCGCCACGGTCAACGGTCACTGGGACGGCCGTTTTCTGACGCCGGCGAGAGCGCGCGTTTGTCACGGCGCGTGACAGCGAGTGGGAGCATGCGAAGTTGAGTACAGGGTGAAATTCGGGTGGGGTGGTGGAGAAGGGGTGGAAGACTTCTTCTGACGGTTGGATACATATCGGCTGGGGTTGGGGCATGAGACGACATCTGTGGGGAAGGCGCTTCCTGGCCTCGGCACGCGGATTGTGGTGATGGGTGCGCTTTCAGAAGAGGACAGAAATGCTGTTTGGAACCTGAAGTCGGTGCTGCGTCGGGAATTTGGTCCGCACTATAGCTGGAATTGTTGAATACAGGCTCTCGTATTGAAGTAGCTCTGGTGCAGTGCACTTGCTTGATCACCGACGCATGCAACCCTCCGAGATATAAGGTACGTTTCTTTCCAACTTTGATTTTTCTTTGGTGGTGCGTCCCCTGGCTCGGGGCCTGACACGTCTGTTGGAGCCGCTCTCTTGAGTCGGTTTTTTATGCCACTCTGTCCGAGTTGGCAGCGCAGTTGCGTCTGTTGTATTGCACCATTCATGTCCTGGCGTGGGCCGTGTCTGAAGGCGGCACAACGTGAGGATGAGTCAAACCTGGCTGTAACACCAGGGGTCGGCACTCACTCTGTCTGAACGGCGGACGGCAAAGCGTTCGTCGGATCGCCTCTCGACAGCGTCTCCCACCTGGTACGGCCGGACCGAGCCGCTCCGAGCCTCGTCGGTGGCCGTCGGCGGGCACGGACCGCGCCGCGTCGGCGTCGGCGGCCACGCGGGCAGCGCGCGCCCGCTGCCCGTCCCCTGTCTCGCGGAAGGGAGAACCGACATGTGACCTTTTGGTCGGTCACGCTGGAGCGGATCGCTGCACTCGGCCGTTTTGACGCCGCTATGATTCTGTTCACACCAGCAGACAATGGGAGCTCACAGCTGCACGGCAAAAGCTGTTGTGATTACTCATTGCCGCCTGCAGGGAGGTCGGCGCCGGGAGAGGGTGTTATAGCCGCCGTGATCTCGGAGTACCGTCATCATGGTCTGCAGCGGAACAAGGAACTGACGCGTCCGCGACGAACCGGGCATAAAATGAAGTTATGTCACTTATAACTATTGATCTGCTTATAAGTGGGAAGGATCCTCTAGGCAGCACAATTTCTCCATTTAGTAAACATGCTCCTTAATACGGCAGTGTTTGATTGCGTCATGGAACGTTTGTATGACGTTGTCGCGCCACCAAACCATCCGTCAAAATTTGCAGTTACTTGTAGTACTTCAAGCTCGGCAAGAGATGGCAGTACGGGCAATAATTGTCTAGCTAACCCATTGTCCTTCTGGGCTCGTCATATTAAGTTATTCGATTGCAAGTCCTAATTTTGTGATAGCTAGCCGGTAAAGAAACCACCTCCAACTTCCTAAAGTAAGAGGTACAAAGCGTGCTTTGCGATTGAAGCTTGTGCAGCTTGTAAGCTGTTCAGTGCATTTTCGAGTGGCATTATTCACCTAGATAAGACATTAGTAATAGCCTTATTCCCCGGAGAAATGCCGGGAGAATGAAAATATCGATGGGTTGATATTTTGGCAACATGCCTTCATCGAAATATGAACCCATCTACATCTCCATTCTCCTGATTTTTCTCTGAGGAATGAGACTATTACTACTGACTTATTCTGCGCAGCTAGCTTACAATTGTTTGAGAGCGAATTTACGTCCATTTTATTTGGAAACCGCGATCACGGACTGTAGACAGGTCCGAACGGCTGTACAATAATATTCTTCTTCGCCTTGAACACCGCCTGGCCTGTGGGGCGGCAGGAATTGAATGACCATTTTATGACGTCATGCATGCCTGAATGGCTTTGAAATAGTCTGCACGAAAAAGTCTGCATATCTTCGCGGGCGTGTAGCTCAGAAACCAGAGGTCTTTGGGTGCGGGCAGAAGGTCAGGGCCGCGAACTGCATCGAATAATCTATAAAACAGCTATTTCAGCGAAGACCAGAAATGAAGATAGAACGCTCCCTTTAATATATCAAAATGTGATGGCTTAAAAACTTTTTCTGGCAGACATTGATTGCGTAAGCTGTAAAGTGCATTTGCGAGGAACATATACAAATAGATAAGACAGTATCATTAGCCTTATTCTACTTAGAGTAACCGGGACAAAGAAGATATAGGTGCATTGATATTCCAGCTACATGGGTGTATGGGAACAGACATTAGTAGTGAATTCAAAATTCCACGCTAATTCCATTTGATTTTTTTGTTTAAACAGCGAGTCAGATTTTTTACAACTCACCAACTCTCAGTGTAAGGAGCATTGCCAACCATCATCGCGATGCAGTGTATATCCAACTTCGGATTAAAATGCGCATAAAATATCTGCAAGCAAACGAATTCAGATAAACAGGTATCATGCATCACACATCACTTATACATGCAAACAATTTCAAGTGAATAGGCCTCAAGCATCACGCATCAGACATCGCACATACATATTAACGATTTTAAGCTAGTACGCATCTAACGCACTACGCACAGTACGCACTAACATTTTGAAGATGATTTAGTACAGGTCGCATGCTGCCCCTTACACCCTTATCCACTTTATTTTCTGACCTATACGCCCGCGATGATGTGCTCAGTATTTTGGGTGAAACTGTGTCGGGGTAGCCCGGGCATCCATGATATCATGATTTTTTTCCTTTCAGCTTGCTTTCCACTCCAGAAAAAAAACTTCAGGGTGTGGGTCAGCTTGACCTCCACCCGAGCGCGTGCGAATGTATGGGTCTAAAATAGGTCCGAAATGATAGCATGCATGTGCAATAGCTCAACACGCGCTTGGGTCGGAGCCACTTTGACCCCCAAGGTTTTCCAGAATGGTTTTCGAGCGGCGCGGCAAACGGGTGCCACATTTTGTATAGCTGTGTTAGATTGAATGGTAGATCGATTGCTATCAAATATTGAAATGCATTTAGATGGATGAGCAATGTATTATAGTGGGCTTTTCAGACTGGATCACTAGCTGGGCGGGGCGGGCTAGGCTGCGGGCTGATATACTGGAGAACCTTGCGTCTCTTATCCGTATATTTGAGACCATGAGACCATAATCCTTCAGAAGGGCTGCTCGATGTTGGAGTCGTACAGCAGCATTTCCTCAACACATTTGTACATCATCTCAGCGCCACCAGTGAAGTCATCACGCTCGGTTGCAGCTTTGGCCTGGTCGTGTGTGATGCGTGTGAGGTGTGGGTTTCTTTCCGCGATGTGATGCCTAATTGGTGACGACTGGTGTTCCAAAAGTCCTTTCCCACTCCATTTTAGTCCGGTGTATTTTCCGCACGCGTTTTCTGTCAACTCAAACTGGGGTCGGCTCGGCACCATGACTTTTGTGGAACTCATTGGCTGTGCGTCCCCGTGACGTGCGTGACGTACGCAGTGGCGGCCCGGACAACCCAGACAATTGCGGTGAGGGCTGAGTGCTGGGAACGTTGTGTCAGTCTCACACCTTTCTGCCTGGAACGGGCGTGGAGTTGTTACAGAAAAGAGCAAACGAATTGTTCTTCATTCCAATCAGGTTATCGCGTGGTAGGAAAATTTTGAAAAAATCAAGCACGTGATACCCGTCTTCCAGGGAATTTGGGCACAACCGTTACCAATCACAACTTGCTTGGATCAGAAAAAAGTTAGACTAGGTACAAATCACTTGTCAGCGTAACCATCATGACGGCTTTTTTCTTACAACTGATAAAAAGGTGGCTCATCGCACCAAACGATCTAGGTGCCCGGAAACCAGGAGGAGCGGGGAACAAAGCCCCTCTTCCAAGTTCCTGAATATTTAGCATGGTTCCTCTTCCGTGATCTGACTAAAATGGCCCTCTCACCCA